TAATGTCCAATAAAGTAAACTGAGTGCGAAACTTGGTCACAATCGCATTAATTGTTTGCTCACTTGGTCGATTATGTAGACCATAAATCGGACGTAAAGCGAACCGAACACTGATTTTGGTAATAAAATTCAATGATTTGCAAGCGTTGCTCGTTAGTAAGTCTATTCATGATGAAATGTCAAAGCATACTGAGCATCTTTCTCTTTGACACCATGTCTGAAATCCCACGTGATCTGTCAAATACTAATGCATGAAAATCCTAACCTCAAAAAAATCACCCGTTATATATATGTATGCATATTCGTATAAAATATTATTGGGGAAATATAATCACTTAGCATGTCTGACAGTGCTAAACACTTTTAGTATATAATACGCCCATTTTTTCAAAATAATGTTGCATTTGCATGATTAAATTTCTCCATCATCTGTTTGTTAAGCTCAAATGCTTAATACTATTTATGAGTATTTTTCTACAAAAAAGCGAGATATCAACATACATATACTTGTACACATGTATGCTTAATATTTACCCACAAAACTTGAATAACTAATCCTCTAAAGAATTAAGCGTTCCACGAAAACATGGTTGTGACACATAGAATAAACAATAAAAATATTTATTTTATTAATAAAAAACTGTGAGATACGAGATTAAGTTGACTTCCGGAAATAACATTAAGCTTTAGATTTTACTGAAATAAAAGAAACCCTTCAGAATTAAGGTTTTTTTTTAATTACTTATTTATGTATGTTTTTATACTTAGTGTGCTCCATGGGACTGTAGGAGCAGGGCGTTCGAAAAAATATACTTTGGATGGGCAAATATGTAGTACACACACGTTTTACTTCAACATAAATACTGTTGAGCATCCAGAAAAATAACTTACATACATACATATATGTATAACACCGTGCGACAGTCAATTTTACGCACAAAAATTTATATATTCGCGAAACCATGAGCCAAATATAGTAAAACTTCGTTTTTAGTTTTACTCTCTGACATCAGGATTTTTTTTTTTGAAGGACTTTCAAATTTTAAAAATATAATTACATACTTCAAAAAATTATTAAAACAATCCAGGACGACTAGGTATTGAAAATGTCTTTTTCACATTGTATAATTGAATTTCCTTCAAATTTTACAATAATTATATTCGAAAAAATTATATATTAAGGACTTATATGCACTCGACCACATCCTAGAATTTCGTCATTCTAACTTTATTCGCTTAAAAAAAGAAAACTAATTAAAAGGACATTTACAATACCTATTCGTCCTTGTGAACCAAAAAATTTTATTTTTTTTTTAATTCCACAGAATTTTCTCTTTCATTTAGTGCCCATACTGTTTCTCTATATTGGAATGAATGGAAGAAATATAAACTTTGTTTTTTGCGATTTAGCATATCTTTGAAACTACAAAGTCCTTGTAACCAAAATCCTGACGTAAGAGAGAAAAACTAAAAACGCAGTTTTACTATATTTGGCCCACAGTTTCTTGAGTATATTGACTGCTTCATGTGTTTCAAAATCATTTTGCTTTTGTCGCACGGTGTAATTATAAAACAGAAAAGACAGGCGACACTGAGAGATAAGGAACCAGCAAACATTTTAAAATTACTTATGACTACCCTGCAGGGAAACTCTGTGCTATTGAGACGTGCTTTTAATAAAAAACTTTTTTTTGGTCAACGTGTTTTACTAGAGCAGGATGTAGAATATATAATGAATTTATATTCTACATCTATTTGCTATCTGGTTGCAGAACCTCCCTAATGGCTTCTCGTAAGCTCTTGCCCCTAGGGGCAATGATGAGCTGGACCTACAAGTAATCGAGTTATTTATAGATAAAATTAATTTTAAAAACTATTTTTACCAAAAACTTCCCCCAAATGGTGGAAGAGTTTAAGTTTAAAGAGGCTGCATACAAATTTTTCAAAAATTCCCTTGATAATCAACAAAATTAGATTCTTAAGTTATTTTCAAAAAGATAATTCTTACGTAAATCTTAATATTTTTTGCAATATTTTGACGGAAGTCTTAAAATATAATAAATTTTTTAATTCTGATAGAAAAACGCGACGAGTGGGACATTTTAACTCGTTTTTGCTCAAACCATAAAAGAGATATCACCCCTTTAATCTTTAATTTGATGTCATTAGGGAGGTTCTGCAACCAGATAGCAAATAGATGTAGAATATAAATTCATTATAGTTTTTTGGTTTACAAGGATGAATAGGTATTGAAAATGCGCTTTTAATTAATTTTATTTTATTTTTTTTAACTAGTAAATTCGAGGATGTGTTCGCGTGTAAACTTCAAATTAATAAATATTGCAAAATTTTCAAAGATATTCAAGGACAAAATTTTGAAAGGACATTTTCCATACCCATTCGTCATTTTGCACCAAAGAATTTAATCTGTTTTAATTCTACAGAATTTTCTCTTTTATTTGGTACACACATTTCTTTTACAAACTTCTTAAATTGAACATATTTTTGAAATTTTAAAAATTCAAACACCACAGTGGACAACTAAATACGCAGTTTTACTATATTTTGGTCATAGTTTCGTGAATATGTTCATTTTTTTTTTTGTTTATAAAATGTAAGGTGTTCTGCTATTTAAACTTGATGTGTGGTTGGTGATCTCCATATTCCCTACAAACAATAATAATAATAATAATAATAGAGGTATAAAGCTAAGTAACTCTATTGCGGTAGTGATTTTTACTTAGCTCCATAAACCGGTAACTAATTTTTTTAACGAATTTACCATATTTTTGCAAGGTTCTGGAATTCGTTAATTCGTACTAATGGATTTTCCGGCAGGGTTCTGGAATGCATAGATACTACTAGTACGTGTGTAAACACATTGCCTTCTAAAAAATTATCAAAAATAAAAAAGACTCGGCCACTTACTTTTTAGTAATTAACTGCATCCCGTACGCAATAGAATTGAGTTTGTGTTTTGTGAGAGAACGTTATATTTTTTTTAACGAAATTCTAGAAAGTTAACAAAAATGAAGCATTCAAGGAATATAATAATTTTTGTGGGTAAATATAAAATTTAATAAAATTAGTTAAGTGAAAACATTAGCATTATTTATGAAATATTTTAAAATCAGATCCAAAAAAGGGATTTTTTTTTATTATTTCATTCAATTTATCATAGCTTAGTAGTCTTAGTTTAGCAGAGTTAGAAGTAATAGGAAGGCCAAACGTTTGATGCATTTCTTCCGACTTTTTTCCGGTTTTTTTCTCGAAGTTGGTCGCCTTTGTTTATTAGTGCTTCCGGCAGGTTAGAAGTAGGATGTGTTTTAGAGCGAACTACCCTCAGGCCTACCAAATTTTATTTCGAGACAGTGTTGAACTATCAAACTTATTCGACCGGTCTAGCACTGTGTGTGTGTGTTTGTTAAGATTTTAATTCGTTGGAGCTGTAGAAGCGCTGGCAGAAGAATATTTTCGCATTGACCGTTGTAGGGAAAGAGGAATGTCCAGTGAAAGTAATAAACATACAAAATCAAAATAATAGATATATATATGTATGTACACAAGAGTGCTTCACTCTCAATACAAAAAAAAAACAATACTTTTTTTTCAACGGAGTTATAAAATGTATCATTTTTAAGACAGAACCTTTTTGAAACTGTCTCCAAAACTCAAGTATTCTATAAATAAAATTATTTTTAAAAATATATTTTTTTAATCACCTCAGATAGTGGAAGAGTTTAAACTTAAAAGGTCTTCGTCAAAATGTTGGAAAATTTCATCACCGGAATCAAAATAAAAATATGTTTAGATTTTTTTTTTTTCAAATCGGTTCCAGATAGTGCAAGAGTCTAAATTTAAAAGGTATGCGTCAAATTGTCGTAAAATTTTATCACCGGAATCAAAATAAAAATATTTTTTTGATTTTTTTTTTCATATCAGTCTAGCTCACGTAAATCTTAACCTTTTTCCTAAATATTTTGACGGAAGTCTTAAAGTATAATACATTTTTTTTAATTCCGGTGGAAAACCTGCAAATTTTTTTTGGTGATGCACTCTAATGTACATATATACATTAAGGCGGGTCAAATTTTCTGACTATGCGCGTATAGCATCCTAGGATCCTGCGTATAATTCTAAGCAAATTTTCCGAAGAAACCTTGGGTATAAAATCAATTTGGAGTTGCCAAATTGCGAAAATAGGTTTCGAAGAAAACAGAAAATAAAAGTGCCGAGATGGATTCTTATACCAAAAAACTCTTATAGCATGTTTTTATACAAAATTTTAGCACTTCTTCATAACATTACAGCAAAATGGTAAGAAACCTATTTTCGCAGTTCGGAAAATTCAAAATTGATTTTAGACCCATGGTTTCTTCGGAAAATTTGCTTGGAATTACGCATACACATACAAATTCGCTCACCTTAATGTACATATTTACAAATACATATGATACATAGAATCCACTTGATCATTTCGGAATATAACACATCGCAACAGGGACCGTAACTTTTATTAAAACAATCGCTGTTTAACAATTATTATTTTACTTTTATTTAACTAGTTCTAAAGTAGCCGTTATTTCTGACTTTTATTTTATAAATCCAAAATAATAATTATTTTTGATTTTTATCTAAATAATCTGCAAATAACAGTTATTTTTGATTTTTAAGTTATATGTGTTAGATAGCAGTTATCGAAGACTTTTATTTGTAAAAGTCATAAACATAAATCAGTCACTGACCTTTATTTTTGATATCATACTTATAAAGGTCATATGTGTAAGTCGTAGTAAACTTTTCTTTCCCAACATCTTCTTAACAGCGAAAAATGTTAATGACTTTTATACGAAAGATTTAAAAAATGAAAATCGATGACAGATTTATATTGATAACTTGTAAAAGTAAAAGTCACTGACTGATTTTTATTGAGGACTTTTGTAAATAAAAGTCTTCAATAACTGTTATCTAAGACATATAATATAAAAACCAAAAATATTTGTTATTTTGGATTTATAATATAAAAATCAAAAATAATTATTTTTTTAATATTGCATAAAAATTGCAAATAAAAAATTTATTTTAAAGTTTGAGTCTCGGTGAAAAAAGAAATCGATTAGTATGTATCATTTAGTTGTAGAACATTTTCTTCATAGTGAACTTTTCCATGACAATTTTCATCAATAACTGTTATGTTCGGTCCTTGCATCGCAAACATCTTCACAAACTCCGATATCAAGAGTTATAAAAAATTTTACACTTTTCATTTCCTCTAGGATTCTTAAGCGTTTGCTTGGTTCAGCAAATAAACAGTCTGCCGCAAGCTGGCCGCGGTTGGTCTCCTGCACGTCCAAATGCCACTTCCTACAATAACCATTGGCAGCAAAAACTTCAGACGACGCGATCATCAACACAAAATCAGCAACCTAATTGGCAATCTAATGGTGGCTGGAGCTGGCTCCTAGCAAATAATAGTGCTCCGCAAAAACCACAACAGCAACAACAACCGCAATGGCAACAAGGTAATGGTACTCGCCGACTTGTGAGTGGTGCAGCTTATCAATCAGAAGGCGAAAGAGTTTGGTTAAATAATAACCAATCACATCCGTTTATCCAAGTGCCTGGTTTTGGAAATCGTCCAAATTTCGCAATAGCTAAACAACCGAATCGAAACAACTCATTGGCAACAGTTAGTAATTATGGATTCGGTTGGAGAGCGCCACAGCCCAATTACTTGGGACCGGTTGGCAATAACTCGTCAACACAAAATGTTCCTACAACGCGTCAGCCCTTCGGAAACAATGGCTGGCAAAGAAATCCCTCAGCAGCCAGTACTTGGAATATTGGGCGTCCCGCCGCCTATAATTCTACAACAGGTGGACAGAATGCTGGCAATTGGTATTCTCCTGCTAATACATCAACACCACCACGCAATGCGGGTTGGACTGCGCCTATTAAACCGAATATTAATACAAACTGGAACGGTGTTGCTAGCAATGGTACTAGTGGACGCGGTGGTGTCAACTCATATGCCAATTGGAATTCACCTCTCCCGGGCAGTACATTTGTAGCTGGGAATAATAATCAAAGCGGCTTTTTTAGCAGTGGACCAACAGCTGCTGCTCGCAACAATTCAAACTCTGGTTACTCAGGCTTTGCACCCGTGGGAAACGGAGGCCAATTGCCTCCTGGTAGTTATGGTGCTAGTTCCAGTTACGGTACGCCACTAGCACCACTGGCTGGCGGAAGTTCGTGGAGCTCAAATTCATCACAAGCTAGCTGGAGCTACACAAATGGACAACAGCAACCACAAGCGCGGCCTATTAACAATTCGAATCCTTATGCCAACTTATTTTACTGATTATTTAAGCACGCATAGAACTTATTGGATTTATATATATTGGCCATTACGGAATTATTAAATAAATGTATATGTACGTACTAAGAAAATCAACTCATCTCATAATTGTTCTAGCATCGATAACGACTATCTTTAAAAGACTTAGGGTCGTTTTCTCAAGTAGGTTTTAAAATTTATCTGCCCTTAAAACACAAATTTCTGTTAAAAAAAAATGTGTTTAAATTAATTTTAAAACCTACATCAGAAAACGGCACTTAATTTATACATACATACAGTTACCCACAGAAGTATTAATTTTGTTTATTTTCACGATATTTTGGTTGTACACAGCTATATTTCAAATAAAAAGTAACGAAAAACATTTATAATGAAAGACATATTGAATATCGTGAAAAAACTAAACAACGAATACTTCTGTGAGTAACTGTATGTATGTATTTATTTATTTTTTATTTACCAAGAATATATGAAAAAAAAAAATTGTTTGCATAAAATTTTAAACGGATAATTTTTAAGACGAAACCTATAAACTGTAGAGGTAAGCGTTAATAAGAACAACTTTGGTTTTTTGGGGGCACAATTGATTCAAAGTGCCAACAAATTTTTGAAAAATCCATTTTGTTTGCTAATAGATAGCAATGTAGGGAAAATCACAAGTTTTGGAATCACACAAAAAACGCCGAAACAAGTAAACTTAACCCGAATTAATACTTAGGGTCAAAATGGACCCTTCTTAAATTTTGAATCCGATTTTCCCACTCGCCTTGGGTCCGATCAATCCATTTTTTTACTTTATTTTTTTCTGCTAAAAAGCTAATATTTTCTACCATGGAATTTTAAATTGTAATTGAAACATTTATTGGCTATTGTTACCAATTGGACCTTAGGGTCATAAAGCACCCTATTCTCATATAACAGAGAAACTTTCAACTTTCATTGGGTTTTGGGAGGAACACAGAGCACTGGAGCCAGCACAAATAAACGTGTACAATATTTATTATGTCATTAGCGCAAACCAACAATCCGCCAAACGTGGAAAGTGCAACAAATGTCTAGGCAAATACCACCACAACATACCTGAAATATATAATAAATGTGAAGAAAAACAAATGACAAATACTCAACGATTATCAATAAATCAGATCAAAATATTTTGTTCAATCCAAAAAGCCGTTCATTTTCACAGCGTGAAAAATTACTCTAAGGATAAATTAGGTTTGTAATTTACACCAGCGTTCAATTAATTAGAAACGAAATTCAAAATGATATTGTTTGCAAATTATGTTTATTTTTTTATTTTTTTTTTTTTGTAATAACATTCAATCATTCTAGTGCTGCAGCAGTGTTGCTATCTTAAAATTGATTGAAATGATCGCAGACACACATTTTGCGTACTCAAGCTACTAAAGTGGCCGGGCCCTGGCCAGATAAAGCAAATCCATGTCGTTCGGGCTACGTAGACCCGTGGATATACATTACTTCTTACAGTTACGGTTGTTGTTTTAAAGGAAAAGTTACTAAAGTTACTTCATTGGCTGCAAAGTGGACTCAGTACTATTACCATGTGTGCGTTCAGAGATGCGTTATAACTACCGCAATATTTCATCTGTTGCTTTCCTGAAGCTCTACTGCCGGCGCTCAACTGGTAATGTACTGCAATGTTGCAAAAATTGTACAGTAAAAAGTTTTCTATGGTATTTGGGGTGCGTTCAGAAATGCATCAAGCCAAAGCATCAGTCTCTTTTATTTCTAAACTATCAGCCTCATTGCGTAAGTCGTAAATTAGGCTGAATTGTACGACTCGACAACATTAGCTTGTATACTGTCGTGCTGAAATAAGTTAACGACGAAAATTGCCGAAAACTATGCAGTGCTGCCAAGTTCTTCCGTTTTAATACACTAGTCGAGTGGAAATTTTAGGCAATGACGCTAAATTTTCGATACGATTCGACTCTCGAAAAACGACTTGCATTCGGCACGACTCTCGCAATGAGGCTGTATAATTGATAGGAATGTCGAATATGCGCAACAATGGTTATAAGCCGAATCAGAACTTAGTTGCGTAAATAAGATATTTCGATCAATTGTAGTTTAGAAATAAAAGATACTGATGCTTTGGCTTGATGCATTTCTGAACGCACCCTTGCTTTGCTGGTGATGAGCAACCGATTGTCAAATTTTTGCTCCCGGAACGTGTGATGCAGTCGCCGGTATTTTCGCCTGCAGGGAGATGGTTCTTCATAAAAGGGTGACTCTGCCGCATTTATTGAAGCTCGAATACAACCCATATCGCTACTTGAATGAGCTACAATGCCTTTTAATGCATCTTGTCCACAACTAGAAGGATTTCACTTACCAACATGCCGACCCTTACAACCAACCCTCTTGTAGTCACCCAACGAAATAAATTAAACACGATTTTTTTAACTGAAAGTGTATACATCCTGTTTATTCCGCAATTATTAAAACATTTTTAATTAATTTCTTCCAAAAAACATTAACATTTATTTTAATAAAACAAAAAGGTAAAATAAAAATTGAAATCTGCCTACAAATTCTACACAATTTGCTCTTATGATGCTTATATTGGTCCCCCTTTTTAAAATTTATATTCGAAGCTTTTAAGGTGTTGTGCTTGTAACATTTAAAATAAAATATTTTCTAGTTTTATCAGCATAGTAATGATCGTTATCTTTATAACCCTTGAAGTCACCCAACGCAAATTATTAAACACGATTTCTTTTTTTTTCTTCAAATTACAAGTGTAAGTATCCTGTTTATTCCGTAATTATTTAAAACATTTTATAATTCATTTTTTCGAAAAACATTACATTTATTTTAATAAAACAAACACAAAATTAAAATCAATAAAAACCTGCCTACAAAATTCTACACAATTTGCTTTTATGGTGCTTATATTGGTCCCCCCTTCTTTAAATTTATATTCGAAGCTTTTCAGCATCTAGCCAGCTTTTAGGGTCTTGTACATTTTGCAATAAATATTTCCTAGTTTATCAGCATTCTAAATTCGAAGGAATTAAGTAAAAAAAAACTAAACTCAACTCTGCCTAATCGTAATTTTTGTTAGCGAAATGTGGATAAGAAAAAATGACGGTTGACTATTATTTCCAAGTGCATCAGAGTTTTAGCAAGGAACCAACAAAGCTGGGTAAAACAGGCAGTGCCAATATGAGAAATTTTTGAAGTCCATCGATGAAGTTCCCACGCTGCCGTCTAGAAGGGGATCCCACGCCGCCGTCACCACTTGGCATCCCACGCCGCCGTCTCAACTTGGTATCCCACGCCGCAGTCTCAACTTGGTATCCCACGCCGCCGTCACAACTTGGTTTCCCTCGCCGCCGTCTCAACTTGGTTTCCCTCGCCGCCGTCACCACTTGGTTTCCCACGCCGCCGTCACAACTTGGTTTCCCTCGCCGCCGTCTCAACTATTCCCCCGAAGAAATAAAAATTACAACCCCACGATGAACCGCTGCTAGTCCCACGTCGCACATTCCCACGCCGCCGTCAATACTAGATATCCCACGCCGCGGTCAATACTTGGTATCCCACGCCGCCGTCAATGCTTGGTTCCCACGCCGCAGTCTCAACTTGGTATCCCACGCTGCCGTCAATACTTGGAATCCCACGCCGCCGTCAAAACATGTAGAACTTTCGCTGTATATGTTTGCTAATTCAATTACTGCCTTCCCAATTAAACTTGGTTGACTTCGCAAGATGTGTAAATAAAAAAACTGACGTCCCAGAATAAGCTACTTAAGGTACTTAGAAGATTGATAGGATTGCAAGGACGCTTTCTCTCTGTCTCTCTCTCTCTCTCTCTCTGTCTGTTTCTCCAAGTTACAAGTGATGGATTAAGAATGATGAAGATGAACACCGAACATACAAGAACAACACCCATACTCTTGTGTAGTGAATATCAGAATTTGAATATATCCCAGTCGTTATAAGCGAAAAAGATCGGTCGACCCATTAGTGATTGATAGTTTTGTCCTCATACTTTCTGCAAAGCAATACATGCCGCCGTAGCCTCTGCTTGAGCCATAGAACCCTAGCCACTGCAATGGAACGCACAGCCGAGCACACAGTTTAATGCATACAACCAGACCACACCCGTACAGCCAGGATCGGATCTATTGAAGTGCGCACTCAATCCTCACTTTAGAGTCTCGTTGGATTTATACAGTCTAGTCCGCACGATGTATGTAGGTACATATATGTATGTATGTATATAAACGAAACCCCATACGTAGTATGCGTCTTGGTAATGTACATAATTCGAAAAGATTTTACAGGAATGTAGATGAATTTCAGCATCGTCGTAAATAAAATTATCCCCAAAATGTATTTAGAAGAAGGCAGTATAGTATTATCTGGTAACAGGTACTGGCCAAACGTAAGGACTCTGGCTTGAAGCAATAAATCGCGTGTGCTGTTTGTAATTGTTGGTAATTAGTATGTATGTGCGTAGGTGTGCGTGCGCGCGCATGCTTGCAGTGAAGTACACATAGGACAATAGATGTGAATGGGATGTACACGTGAACATCGGAACTTGAATAAATTCGAATCGGACGAAACTGCCTGAAGCTCAGCTGACTTTCAAAATATGCGTATGCGTATGCGCCGCTCATTTATTCGTTCGGTATGGAACTGCAAGTAAGGCTAGGCAAAGGGCTTACTACACACCACGAACTATACGATATGTATGTATGTATGTTAAGAACGCGTGCGCCATAGTTGGTACAGTCGAATGAATGATTATAAAGATTTACTAGGATCCCTCTCGTTTGCTCTCATACTTGATTGATTCGATTCCCTGAATCGAACGGTTGATTGTGTTGGATGTTTTTCTTTCCCTATGTGAACTAAGCTGTGTTTGACTTGCACTCCCTCCTGCTTTTTTAAATTCTTGCTTTCAATATGTGTTGTGTAGATAGAATCACCCAGTGCGATCAGATGTAAATCTCTCGGCTGCCAAAATGATGCTGCGCTGCATCATACCGCAAAATTGATTGTAAGACTAAAGGACACCTTGCTCTCTCTCTCTCTGTCTCTCTCATTTACTGGTCACAGGGCTTGATCTTGTAGAAGTATGTAGGTTTCATAGGTTTGTGCCGTGTATGCCAAGTCAGTTAATGCATCAAAAATTTACATTTTCTAAAGAATTTTACATGTCAAGTTATAAGTTAAAAATATTGAAAATCTTTACATGAAACTCGGCTATATGTATCAAAATAGTTAGAAATTAAGAAATTACATTTCGCAAAAAAAGTTTACATTTCATATAACAAGATTATTAAAACTTTTTACATGGAATGAGTTGGCGGATGTATCTTAAGGTTTCACAGCATTGTGCCATGTACCAAAATATAGTTAAAAAGAATAAAATTTTCTGATGAATTTTACATGTCAGGTAAGTTAAAATTTAAAAAATTTTACATAGCATGAATATAAGGATTAGAATAAAATGTTTAAACATTACAATGCAAAAAAAATGTGATATTTCATCAACATGAGGGAGGTATTCTCAAATTAAAAATTTTTAAATCATTATTAAACATTTACATTTTGAATTTTGAATTCATGTTTTATGCACTAGGCATATAGTACAAGGATTTTCTACTACTTCATACAGCTGGGTATACTATTTTTTTTTTTTGTCTGCAATATAAACTATTGTCTTACATAATCAAGGTATGTATGTAGTAGAAAAATTAATTGCATCTAGATTCTTTTACAAAAACCTTGCACATAATTGAATTTCGGTCAACAGAAAAATGGGAATACAATACTTTTTTTAAGGTATCTTAACAGAAAAAGTTATTCTAACAAAAGAAGAAACTAAAAGTGTAAAAGCAAGGATTTCAAAATTTTTGGTTGTTACAATTTTAACCATATATGTATGTATGCAGTACATTAAATACATATGTAAGATTAAGTAGTTACACATAGTTGATATGTTAACTAGATGTGTTGAGTGTTGTTGTTTGCCTGCTCAATTGTTCTTTGAGGCATCTTGTTCATCTGTATACTATGTACATGCAGTAGTAGAGATGAGTCAATTATGTGTGTATATGACTCGCAAGTTAGTCACAACAAGTGACCTGTAAATAATACAAGTTTATGCACATTGAACGAACCGTAACAAGTCTTACGCGTGTTTCATCGATTCCCTTTTGAAACATTTCTTCGCCCGCTTATGGGCCATATTCTTCAGAGCTCTTCGTGTGTTTGCTCACTGTCAAGGGATTGACAGGGGCTGCCAAGGGATTGGCAGGGGCTGTCAAGGGATTGACAGGGGCTGCCAGGGGGTTGGCAGTTATGACTCGTACGGATTCGCACATAACAAAAGAAAGTAGAGGAATACCAACGATGTAATTAATGCACCAAAAATGCTGAAGTGTGACTAACTGCACGCACTCGGGATACTAGATGAAAAGTGCACATTTAGAACAAATTTGATGTAGGCGTAATTGATTGATTGCTCAGTTGTTGAATGATATTTATATGGACGGCCACTTCTAGTTGTATCGTTTGATTCCCTTTAACGATCATCTGGATGCGTGCAATGCCGCCAGAAATATCAACAGCAAAATTATCTGTATGCCACATGGATGCGACGATGTCATAGTTAAAATTGTATTTAACCGCATTTGAATTTGTATACTGCAAATAGACTATTTAAATAAAATGGGATATTTCAAGTATGACCTCAGTCGTGATTCAGCTAACAGGATCCTTAGTTGTATATATGTATGTATTACAATTGAGTGAGAACGCCTCCGCTTCGTTAAATTTGTTTCTAATTGAGAGAGAAGTGTTATGTTGCGCCGCAAGTATTTGATTCCCTTGCATATTTCGAATAAATTGGACAAATGCCATCAAACTGTAAATAAATTAAATAGAAGAAAGCTTCATAGAGAAAGCACCTTCCTTCCAGCAGTATTCCAACTGTTGCCCGACGAGCCGATACTCAAAGCGGACTATACCGTTAGTTGCCGTCTACTTCTTGGTGGTTTTACCATAAAGCCCTTAGTAGTTGACAGTGACCCGACCGATTTGATATGCTACTGCTAAAGATATGTACAGGAACGGTTCAACTGTATCATATCGCTGTAATAGGTAAATAAACTATTTCGTGTTTTTGTGTTGCGTGGCACGATACGCCCGGGAAATGTTAATTGTTCAAAGTTATGTTGATTGATGTACAAAGTTATGTTGAAATGTTGAGTTTATTGAAGGGATTTGCATTTTACCCGTGGCACAAACGGAAACTGTCTTGAGCTCCTCAAGTACGGTTGAAAATTCGCTTTGGTCGCCTTTCGTTACGCATTAGGTAATAAAATTATTCATCGGTGTGAGGACGCGATGTGCGCGTTGTTACCGAGTGTCGTATGGCTTGATTCCCTATAGCCAGTATACAGATGAGATATACGCAGGCACAGATCAACTGCGTCATATCGCTATAAATTATAACGAAAAAAATAACGTACGTTTCCGAGAAAAAAATATACCAGAGAAAAATGTTCAAAATTGCAGATTCTTCACAATATTCATTTAGAAATCGGCATGCAATGTAAAACAGTTCAAATTCAAAGTTATCGTCGCCGTTGATATTTTTATAATGTTTCGCTGATTGGTCACCTGCTGTTGGCATGATTCCCTTATTGCCAAAAAATTAAAAAAGATCCTTTTAAATAAAGCTCGAGTCACAGCTCGGTAAAGTTTCTGGAAAAAAATTGGAAATATAACTGTGTCTCCAAAAATGTAAACAATTCAAAATTGATTTTTTTTCTTAATTTTACACGCCAAGTTGGTAAACTAAAGGCAAACACTTTTGGAACTCCATCTCTTGTGCACAGAGGTGCGTTGCATTCCTTCTCATTATTGGATTATGCAGGTGGTTTTTGTATCTACAAGAAATGTGTTAATCTAATGCAAGGAATTGTACATTACTCTTTGTTTGCAAATTAGTTCAACGGGTCTTCTATTGGAACCAGCATATTCAGCGATTTCCAAAGAGTTGGCTTATTATTAACTGCTAAACAAAGGTTGTTTTGCCAGTGGAAACTTTCAACGGAGTTAGGCACACGCAGGCACCGATCAACTGCGTCGTACCGCTGTAAAATATGTAAAACTGCTTCTCTTTTTTTTTGTATGTGTGTGTGTGTGGTTCACAACTCAAAAATAAACATTTGATATAAGTAGATGATTGGTAGGTACTTAGGAGCGTAAGACTTTCTGCTTGTGTTTCCCCCAATCGAGCCAAATACGCCTAGACATGCATGGCCTGGTGTTTCAACTCTTCTGCGCTAGGAACTGGAAAATAATATTACTGCAGATATTAAAATCTACCTATCTCCGATGAAAACAGCAATCATCTAGTAATTTGGCACGATTCCCTTTTGCCATTTTTAAACATAAGGATGCCCTCTCTTCGACGTTTTTTTTTTTGTTTTTTGTCAATGGTATACTTTAGATTGCAGCCTTGTTGTTGAATCAGTGAATACAACGCCGATGGAATAGACACTTTCTACAAATTATGAATTAGTTAAGAGAAAATTACCATACGCCTTACGATCGATAAGGTTCAAACAGTTTGTGTGCTCTCAATAAGGTAGGTATATTGGTGCTACGGGAAACACAATTCTCAAATCTTGGCAGGTCTTACGTTGTATCTACATACATATGTAGATGCACGCAGGCACGTTCAACTGCGTCGCATCTTTTCCTACAAATTATGCATTAGTCAAAAGAAAATCGCATTTTTTTCTTACAATCGTATATGATCGAAACAGTGTGATGTTGCTCTCAATGTTTTGTGATGCCCATATATTAGCTTAGCCTTTAAGGTTACTGCTGTATTGATGATTTCCTATGCAAACTCAGGTACGTTCAACTGTGTTGCATTGTTTCCTACAAATCATGGATTAGTGAAGAGAAAATTTGCAATTGTCCTTACGAGCAAACAAGATCGGAACAATGTCGTGTTGCGCCCAATATTTTCGTGTTGTCCATGATCATTACGTTAGATTTTACTATTATTGCTGTACTGATGATTTCCTATGCATACTCAGGTACGGTCAACTGTGTTACACGATTGCCTTTGCCACTTTTAAACATTAGGATGCCCTCTCTACGACGTTTTCTCACTGGTGTACTTAAGTTTGTAGGTCGTGTTGCTGAATCAGTGAATATACAACGTGGATGGAATACACTTCCTACAAAGTATGCATTAGTTAAGAGAAAATTTGAATCCGTCTTACGGTCGTTAAGATTTAAACAATTTGTGTTGCTTGCGCTCAATATGGTGTTACGGGGAAGTGAAATTTTCTCAGTGAAAAGCTTCTCAGGTCGTACGATGTTTCTATGTAGATGCACGCAGGCACGTTCAACTGTGTCGCATCTTTTCCTACAAATTATCATTAGTGAAAAGAAAATCGTATTTGTTCTTACAATCGCATATGATCGAAACAATATGGTTGTTGCTCTCTATGTTTTGTTGTGGCCATGATCATTACGTCAGATTTTAAGATTTTAGCTGTATTGATGATATCCTATGCAAACTCAGGTACGTTCAACTGTATTGCATTGTTTCCTATAAATCATGGATTAGTGAAGAGAAAATTTGCAATAGTGCTTACGAGCGAAAAAGTTCTGAACAATGTCGTGTTGCTGTCAGTGTTTTCGTTAGGCCCAGATTTTAACATTAGGCGCGTATTATTTGAGCAGAAATTGAAGCTATTAGCTTAGTGAGCACGGAAGTCTTAGCCAGCATAAAAATATTGGCTAAATCGTCCTTACACACTAGGCTAATAGCTTAAATTTCTTGCCAAATAAAGCATATATATTATTGCTGTATTGATGATATCCTATGCAAACTCAGGTACGTTCAACTGTATTGCATTATTTCCTACAAATCATGGATTAGTGAAGTGAAAATTTGCAATAGTGCTTACAAGCGAAAAAGATCGGAACAATGTCGTGTTGCTCTCAACGCTTTACAATCTGATGATATAAATTGGTGCAGTTCTATTAAATCTTTCGCTGTGCTCAGAGGACCCCAGATGCACACAGGCACGTTCAACTGTGTCACATCGCTAAAAGAAAATCACTTTAAAATAGTTAAGTCCGTTGAAATACCCGCTGGTATGTCGGTCGTTCGATGAGTACCCATTGCTGGTGGCCTATAATTTATGGTTGGTCATGTTTTGGATTCCCTTTCTTGATGCTGTAATGGTATAAATTAGTGCAAGATATGTTGTACCTAACCTCACCACTTCGAAGTTTCTAATGGGTGAAGGCATGAAGGCTCTAACTGCCAACAGCTCTGTCTTAACCGCCAGGATACGCACAAGCATAAATTACTGTGGTGTATCGCTGTAAAAACCAAAAAAAGAAAAGTTTCTAGATGGCTCATTTTTCTCGAAATGAGTATAAACTATTTGATTTGTAGTTTTTAAATACTCAAATCCATCTGCCCGTGCAGTGTTAGAAGTCTACGATAATTTGGGTTGGCTTCTCTTAACAGACCTCAACGCTCTCCTCAATACCCAGCTTGTTTATGCCAGAAACTTTAATATACGCAACGGTTAGGAAGTTGTGTTTGCAGAGATTTGTATGATGAATATGAATGACCGACTCGATACACACAGGAACCGTTCAACTGCGTCGTATCGCTGTAACAAAATTTTAAACAGAGAGGAAAGAAACGAAGAACGAAAAAAAAAAAAATACGAAAAATGGAGAAACAGGCCATCTCTTTAGTCAGCGCTAGAAGTCTTTTATCAGTGATATTTCAAGGCCCAAGCAACTATTTCAGCCACACTCTGTAAATAATGGTAAGTTTTGCAGAGAAAATCCATTGGGCTTACGGCACGCTTGCACAACAAAAATCGACCTCTGTATCTGACGACCGACCAGTCATCTCTAAATAGGGGCAAATTTCAGACTTCTCTTATGGTAGGAGCAGACTCGCCTCATCACATATGAAAAACACTCCCCTTTTGGACGTTGCTTGTGTTGTTTGTTAAGGAAATACGAACAGGCACGTTCAACTGTTTCGTATTGCTGAAATCGAAAGATTTTTCTACGCAAATATTTGTGTATACCATTCGCAATCAGATATAGATGGTAGTTGGCTAATATTGTCCCCGCCACGCTCCACTTGTTCATTTCTTTCATATTCATTCTTAACACTGTGTATGCTGACTGTCGTGGTTAATGGACGAGTATGGCTTACAACTGATGTCCCAGCTGCTATACGCTTTGCTACAAATTCTCGCAGAATGTCACCTTCACTTTAGATATGGGGGTGCACGTACTGAACTGACCAGACTAACTGCAACTGTAGTACATCGAGGTAGCTCATACCGCCTTCGCCACATTCACATTCCGGATAGCTCCGAAGTACATTAGCACCAACCACAGCAATTTGTGTAGAATTTCTATGTTCCCTCTGTTTTAGCTCACTCACTCTGTTGTTGGATCATAACTTTCACATTACCATAGACTGGATGGATTTACGTCATACGTTAAATCGCCAAAAAACGAACTGTAAAACAAAATTGCATTTATGGTGGTAATTTTGCAACTTGGAAAATAAATTTACACTACAAATTTGTTTAACAATTTTAATTATTTTTTATTCTTTCAAATCAGTTCTGCCTATTTTGATATGACAAAATTGGAATAAAATTTCTAAAACGAGTAAATCTTTACATATTTATAATTATTTCCTAGGAACATCACAATTGATTCAATATGAATCATACCTACTTTTCAGGTACTTCACGTGTACTCATCACGCTTGCGTACTTTCTACATCAACTCGAAAGCGAAAAAGTAAAGCTGCTATTGCCATCTCGTTTCTACACCACCACAGGCAATGCATTGCATTGGAAACTGTTATACACACTGGAATCAGTGATTAAATTCTTCGAAAAGTATGCCAATTATTTCAAAAAATTTATAACAAAGCTCTTTGTAAACAAGTTAAGAGCGAAATACACCACACAAGCGGTTTGACAAACCGCTTGTGTGGTGTATTTCGCTCTTTAGTAGAATTGTCAGCAAGGCTGTTTGAATCAATCATATTTCTACAACAACAAAAAAACATTGCATTGGAAACTGTTATACACACTGGAATCAGTGACATCAGCAAACCTCGCTTCTCGTTTTTAATTCGCAGGAGCCAACAATTTTTCGAATATGCCAAATTATTTAAAAATTTCTTCGCGAACAAGTTAGTAGAATTATCAGCAAGGCTGTTTGAATCAACTTCAATTTTCTACAATAAAGAGCGAAATACACCACACAAGCGGTTTGACAAACCAAGCGAAATTTCCCTTTGCTTCAAGCCATTTGTGCTGTGTATGGGGGTGTTTGAAGGTTTGACGGCGGTTTGTCAAACCTTCAAACACCCCCATACACAGCACAAATGGCTTGAAGCAAAGGGAAATTTCGCTTGGTTTGTCAAACCGCTTGTGTGGTGTATTTCGCTCTTAAGCCTTGCATTGGAAACAGTTATACACACTGGAAATCAGTGTCGTCAGCAAATTAATTTGGACTTTCAAGTTCTCAAAGCTACAAAAAAAAAAGCACTGGAACTTCGCTTTTTATATCTAACTCACACGATCCATTAATTTTGTCAAAAATATGCCAAATTATTGCAAGAAATTTGAAAAAGTCTTAGAATCAATTAAATTTCGAGCTATGTACGTATGTATATAATTTCACAACCATGCAACAAAAATATCGATTAATGCGCACTCGTTATTCGGAGTCCAACATGGCCGCCGAGTAACGAGAACGCGAAACGGCAGTTACGTAAAACAAAATGGCGTCCGGCTTTACATTTTTCGCTTTGTGAAATAGTCTACTCACGTATAATATATAGATACATACATACATCGCAAGTTATATATATTTGTGTAAATGATAAATTTACGAACCGATTAAGCAACATCTGAGCTAATCTTCCACACATCAGTCGTGCGTGCGCAGCACCACCACCACCACACCAGGCTCCCAGAACAGGGGCATGCCCAGCCCAGGCTTGCTAGTTTTGCCTACCAGTAAGTAAATGGTGTCAACTCTCTCGGTTTTTCACATTGTGGAAGTAGATATTTGTACGATGCTTCGATGACTGCAAATGAAAAACTTGCATGATAAAACTATACTAAATATACATACATAGATACAGTTTTTAGACATCTGCAACAAATATCATCAGCTACATAATTTAATCACATGACAAATTTGTTTTTTAACAACTATCAACTAACTACTGCAATGGTATGTAGCACATTGCAATTATCACTTTTTACATCATATTCATTCTCATATGCCATCGTTTTTGCATCACAAATTCTATTAGTACTACTCAACGAACGCATAAATGAATCCAGGTCACTCAGCTCACTTTTCCACAAATTATCGATTTTTTCACGTCGCTCGGCTTCTTCTTCGTCAGACATATCGGCCTTTATATAAGTGTTGGTGGTATAATTACCATCCAATTTTGCTTGAAACTCCGCCCAGCGACAAAAACGTTCCCTTTGTTTGCGACGCAATTCAGCTTCGGCTGTGAGCAATGCCGTATTTAACATTGCATTCACACGTAAATTGCCACGTAGCTTTCGTTTCATTTGTGATCGTTTTATACGGAAATTACGCACCCAACCACATAGTGTTGTTGGGTCTTCTTCAACAAAATTATTTTCATAAACTGCTACCATTTTTAGCTTTAAAAGATTTTTGTAACAATCTTATTGCACGCTAGTTTATTTTAAACTTTCACAGCGTATTTTTGTATGCCTTTAATTTCATCTGCGTTCCTTTGTCTTAATTTTATATATGTATATCTATACTTTTCTGTTACACACACACACCTTCACATTAGTGTTGGCCTTGGACATTGATGATTCAGCTCAGATCTGCTACACTGCTGCGTCACACTGGAATATATGTATGTATGTATGTATGTATCTCCTTTTACTTTTTTTCACTTTAACAAAACGATCCGCACTGCACGACTATTCGCCAACAACTGTGAAATTTCCATGTTTGCAGCCTTCTATTTATACTTTGGCAGAACAACGAGTAGGAATATTCCTCCGCTCAGGCAGAAAAAGTAGTACCTATTCAGGGCGGTTTCTTTTTAAAAGGCAGCTGTTTCTTGGCGCGGAGACTGTCTTTGTGTATTCCAGTTGTGGAGGGAAAATGCATTGTTATAGTGTTTTTGTAAATACATTAGTAGAAGTATAAGAATTTTGCTGGTAAAAATTGCACCCGAAAATGTATTCAGTTCGTTAATTCGCAACGGCAGTTCGTTGCTCTTTTGTAGCTTTCTGGTCGTTTCCTAAAATTCGGAATAAAGAACGATAAAGGGAAAGTGTTACCAGATGAACAGTTTAATATTTTCTATAAAAAAATAATGAATACATACATATTCTATAAGCAAAAATTTTTAAATTCTTTGTAAATTTGTGTGTAAATTTATCGGTATTTTAACTAAATTTAAAAATTTATATGAAAATAAAAAAAAATTACACAATTGAGGTCATATAGAATGGGATTATATCATGGAAAAAACTGTATCTCATGCATTTATATATAGCTAACGCATTTGTACTTAAAATATCCCACTGAATTTTAGTTGGCACTCTGCTTATAGTTAACGACATATTTTCTACTATTTTTTTATGCGGCAGGACGATTTTGTTAGAGCTAGGACATTCTCCTAGAACAACAATGTGGACTTACTACATAAATTTACAATACATACTTTACCTCTACAATTAGATCTTGCAAGAATTGTACCTACAAAGAATATATGTACATACATATGTACATATGTATGTAAATATCGAGCCCTAACAGGCTAACCTAATATTCACGCACGCCGCCAATTTATTGTCAAAAATTTCTCATACAAATGCAACTTGTATGAGATCAACCGGAATTGAACGGCGTGCGTATGAAGCTAACTCAATTTCCAATTTTTGTTCTGCGTGACATTTTGATTTGACGTTTCGCTAAATGAAATCAAATGCAAATGCATGCAAGTCAATTTCGGGTGACGCAAAAAAACAAACTCGACGGCATGCGTACCAAAACGCAAGCCGCCAATATTAGGTTAGCCTGTAACCGTTGAAAAGATGTATGTAGGTTAGCGACATTTTTTTCAAAATCTCTTTTTGACGCTGAAACATTCCCAGAGCATCTAGATGCATTTCTGCATAAAAAAAAAAATTTTGAAAAAATTTCGTTTACATCTTTTTGGCGGTTAAGACTCGACATATGTACATAGATACATATATGTATCTGCATATGTTCATACATACATACAGTATCGGTCATATCTATAGCACGCCATTTCAAAGTGATATTGTGTGGCAATTATGTTTATTTATTTATTTTTAAGAATTTTCAATTAAAATACAGTTCCTTCTTTAATAAAACCCATATAAACCCAAGTTTAACAATTTGTAGAAAACTACAAAAAAGTGCAACAAATTATTACCCAAATTTCAAACTTTTTTCTCCGAAGTGTTGGAAATTTTTTGAATACACAGTTTGATAGCCCAATCAATTTTAGCCCTATAATGTGCAAGTTTCAAGTGGCTAAAAGTTACCGTTGATTTTTTAGAATTTTTTCGCCAAAGGTGTTGGGGATCTCTTCCATATACAAATAAATTGAGTTTATTCATTATATGGAAGCCAATGCGACAAAAAATTTCTAAAAAATCAACGGTAATTCGTAGCCACTTGAAATTTGCACATTATCAGACTAAAATTGAAGGGGCTAAAAAACTGGCCGCATTTCTTTATTCATTCTGAACTTTTGGAATAAACTTTTTTGTTTACTTATTCTTTAGAACGTTCCTGATGATATGTTAACGTATATTTCAAACGGATTCTGTTTATTCCGGTTGTGAAATGGGATTATCCGGAATGTATAAAGAAACGCAGCCACTGTGTACTCGAAAAAATTCTAAAACTTCCGAGAAAAAAGTTTGAAATTTAGGAGAAAATTTGTTGCGCTTTTTTGTAGTTTTCTACCAATTGTTAAACTAGGGTTTCTTAAAAACAAATAGATAATCAATAGTGGCAAACAATTTCACTTTGAAATGACGTGCTATAGATATGACCGATACTGTATGTATGCCCATAAGTACAATATATTTTTAGGTATTCAAAATACGCTTAAATACACACACACACGCATACATAATATCTTAAGGTTACCTTTGTTAACAATTTTTAAGAAATGTGTTGAAAACGGGGGTTGAAGTCTACAACAAAAGGTTATAAAGAAGTTATACTCTCCCATCAAGATCTTTAGGAAGAAGAAAAATGCATTCAGGTAGCAATGCCTGCATGGATAAACATACATTCATGCATACGTATTTATGGCTGCTGCATACCTACTTTGTATGTACATAAGTACATATGTATGTATATACACCCCGCTTCACTTGAATAGGCAAATTTTGTCTTCAGAATTTTAATAGTTTAGTATGTAAATGCAGCGAGCTTTCGAGAAGGAAACGAAACGAAGTGTAAATATTGACCCAGCATCATATTGTGAGGCTAGCTTCTAATTATGGTGATACTACTTCAAAGGTAAAGAAAAATGGGTATGTTGATGCTACCAAATGTTGGCAATGGTGCTCTGGAAACTTCAACCTTTAGTTTTTTTAAATATTCTATACATACAAATGAATACCAAACTGTTCTTTTTTCACACACATATGTATCTATGTATATGTAAGACAGTAGACCGCAACAAAAAAAAAATTGCAGTACACAACTGAGTCTAAGGTATTTTGCAAGTCAATTCTTGTTTTTTTTTCAAACGAATCTCAAAATATGTATGATAAATCGATTTTCTTGTCTCGAGGAGAAAATTTGTTCTCAGTTACCATCAAACACGAATAGGTTTTTCAAAAATGTACCAACATTCTGCTAATGCAGATTTGTTTTAAATTTGTCCCAGGATTCCAAATTTGCAAGTCCGAAAATCGTTGCAGATCCTTTTTCGAAATAAACATATATATGTATGTATATTTTTGTACGTAATATGAGAAAGAAGGATCTATAAAAAATAAAGGCCGCCCTTTACTATAAAGTTCATTGCACTTGATGCTACATACAATAGTACAAGAAGACTAAAAGGGCTTGCCTCGAGCTATCAACTTTTTTTTTTGAAATGTCAGTTAGGCTACACTGGCCCTCAAGGCCTCATATTAAGGTGGACCTAATTTGTCGGCCGCTGTGGTGTAGTGGTAAGCAGTGCGCGCTTCCACTCATCAGCACCTGGGTTCAAGCCCTGGTCAAAGCAACATCGCAAAAAAATATATAGAAAAAGGTTTTTTCTTAACAGCGGTCGTCCCTCGGCAGGCAATGGCAAACCTCCGAGTGTATTTCTGCCATGAAAAACAGCTTCTCATAAAAATACAATCGCCGTTCGGAGTCGGCGTAAAACTGTAGGTCCCTCCGCTTTGTGTGACAACATCAAGGCGCACGCCACAAGTCGGAGGAGAAGCTCGGCCAAACACTAACATATGTGTAAGCGCCAATCTATTATTATTATTAATTTGTATGAAACCGAAAAAAGTACCTTTTAATTTGGACACTATCTTAAAACATGACGTTGGCTGCAAAATAATGAAAAAGACAATTTGAGCCCAATTGGAGGCTATTTAGAACTTCCTTGCAAACATACTTTAGATTCAAGGGTGTACGGCGGACTTTTTTGTTTGCTTGTAAGGTGGTACGGTCTAATGTAAGTGTACACATATCGTTGTTTAAAGTACAAAATTTTACAGGAGAGAGTAAAACCTGTTTTATTTTAACACGGTTCTCTCTTTTATCCCTAATTATCTCTACCTTTTCTATCTAATTATCGATATTTGGATATAAATGAATATGGCTTGATGTCAGGACCTTGCTTTGAGAGAATCTCAACACGTGGTGTTGTACTTTAAACGATGATATGTATGGTTACATACATACATATATTTAGTATTTTCTTTTGCTCGCCCGCGGCAGCACGAAAGTGTAGAATTTGTGTTTCTTTGGTTGGTTCTCGGGCCACTTTGAGAGAGTAATTTTTGCTTCTCACTAGCCCGAAGTTGCCCGGACTATTTTTCCAGGCGAGCTTGTGAAAACTGTCAAACTGCCAGAAGAAGAAGAAGAATTTTAAACATTCAAATTTTAACCAATAAATATGTAGCTGTATTGATAAGTGAAACAACATCAGGTGAATTATTATTTAACGTTATTCTGTACGCTACTGCTCAAATCTGAACTTTATAATTTTTTGCGATTTGGCGTTTAGTTTCTGGCACGATGCCTATATATAAAGATATAGGCTTGGTTCTTAGAAAATCATACCCATTCAAGTGAAGCAGAGTGTATATAAGTACTACAAACATATATACATATGTATGTACTTTGCAAAGACTCTACCCTTGTATAACGTAACGGATTTTATACCCAAGGTGAAATACTTTAAAGCGTGTGAATGACTTAACGAAACGTTTTTCGTTATGAGCAAACTCAACCCTTCTCAACGGATGGAAATGAAATTGAAACGCCAAACAGACGACTAACAAATTTATGCGCTTATGTATTGTATTAATTCATTTGGTTTCCCAGTTTTCGTTTACCTGATTTATCTGTACAGGCATAAATCCGTAAGGTTACAAACTTATGTATGTTTGTATGTACATTTGTACGTACATTGGTAGTTATTATGTACAATTTCCATCGTATACTAGCAGCTGGAAGTTTAATGGTCATTGTATTTCTATGCGTGTGGATGAGGATGTTTCTGGTTCCCAAGATCGTTTAACGCAAGTACGTGTCTTAATTTCCGGACCTGTCTACCTGGCCGTATTAGGTACTCGAATAGGCTTTTTAATTTGAATGTCAGTACTTAAAAATAGACGCCTCGAAACGTTCAGTGAAAGAGTATCCTTCCACTACTTCTTTTATGGAAACATTATACTGAAGTTCGGCCGCTGTGGTGTAGTGGTAAGCAGTGCGCGCTTTCACACATCAGCACCTGGGTTCAAGCCCTAGTCAAAGCAACATCCCAAAAATATAGAAAAAGGTTTTTTCTTAACAGCGGTCGTCCCTCGGCAGGCAATGGCAAACCTCCGAGTGTATTTCTGCCATGAAAAACAGCTTCTCATAAAAATACAATCGCCGTTCGGAGTCGGCGTAAAACTGTAGGTCCCTCCGCTNGTTCTTCCTCGAAGAGAAGCGAAATTCAGATGTAGTCGGTTTTTTTTCGAGAATGCTTGGCTACATCCACAACCGTAGATAAGTTTATCCACAGCCTCAATACCCTCAAACTCAGAACACGCTGTGAAGCACTGTCCTTAATAATGATATCAATATCTAACATATGCTAAATGACATTCAAATTTTTCGTTGGAGCTGATTTGACCCGCCTCGTATCCGCAATGCAGGCTGTCCTTTGTACCTGCCTAACACATTCCCATGGTAGTCTGAACTGAGTTGTTGTTCAGTCCAATTTAAAATACTTTCGGGAGTTTTCTGCCAGCGGATTTTATTTTTCGCAGGAGTAAAATCCTCCAACTGTTGCCATGCTGCGAAGAGAATTTTCCCTTAATTAATAAAGAGAAACTTTCGAACTTCGTGCCAAATGCTTTGCACAAATTCAGCTGTATTTCTGTTTAAGAGATATTTTGTTTTTGATAAGAAGAAAGACTACATGCTCAAGAGCAGAGTAATCAACGCGAACACAGGCACAGGATATTTATTAAGTAATGTTGGAAAAGGATGTAGAGGAGAGAGCTAAAAAATCCCCTAGCAGCATACTACACGTGCAAAATTACCTTTTGAAAGCATTGGCCACTATCTCCGTACGGCACCTGCGGGATGCACATCACAGGCATTAGACCAATAACAGCCCACGTGTCCTTAGTATGGTGGAGTGATCTAAGCAAAGAGAATAACTGGAAACTAATAGGAAAAGTGTAAAGACTCGCAAGCCTTGGCATATCGCGGGAGCAGTGAGTAGCGCACCTCAGGAAGGGCACGGCCCCGCAGAGTGCCCTCAGGCTCAGAGAGGCAACAAATTTCAGGCATACGGCAACACTGATTGAAATAAAATGGGGCCGGCTCAATAGAATTAAAGCTGACATAGAAGCCCGCACTTATTACATTACGCATTTTTTGGGACTTCAATACTAAGGTACCTATTTATTAGGTTCCCGACTAGAGAAGAATTCGATGCAGGACTGCCAATAGCAGAGGGAGGGTAAAGATGGAACAAGCAACCGGTGCCCTTCTCCTTTCGTCTACCGAACGATTGCAGTGTCCACCAAACAGAGATCTACTCTATAAAAAGGGCGACTAGTGTTTTACTTACCACGCTGGCATCACTGACCCATATTAACCTCACTCTACACTAGGTCCCCGGACATAAAAATATTGAAGGGTATGAGTCGGCTGATGAGAAGAAGCGGATAGCTCGGTACTACTACCGTTTAGTAAGCACACCGTGGCCGCAACTAATGACTTGTGAAACAAACGGGAAGACTGTAAGACCACAAGAATATTATGGACGCGACATTGTAGGAAAAAGACGAGGGACGTACTGAAACTTAAGAAACTAAGAGTCTTTAGCGGTGTCACCACAGGACACTCTACTATGCCAATGCTTCATTGATGGCGAATACCAATAAGTACTATCTGCAGAAGCTGCCGGGATGAGGATGACGAAAAGTCAATTGACCCCTTTCTGTGTCGATGTCCGGGTCAACAGTCGAAGCGCCTCAATCACTTGGCATCACGCTTCTTCGACAGTTTGTGCGAGATAGCGGAGATGGAACTTTTGGATCTCCTCGGCTTCATTAGGGATTTTTATTGGTTCAGTAGAATAATGATTTGTAAGTACTTAGCCACTCTCTCGGTTACGGGTACATGTCACACATAGGGCACTCACAACCGTCAATGTATGGAGCCTAACCTAAACTAGACAATGCATTGAAGCCTTTACACATATGTATGTAGGCTTGACCATTAACTAGATATACATATGATGGAAGTACGGGTAATAAATATCTCATTTTACCAGATTTCAAAAATGTACCAAATTTGAAAGTTATGCACCAGTGTACAAAACTGCAAAAATGGTTACTATTCGGCCCTGAAACTGGAATATTTAATGACTACCGGCTGATTATAGCCAAAGACCAGTGGCGGATCCAGCAGGGGGGTTTTGGGTGTTAAACTACGTGGGTACGAAAATAACCTTTATGTAAATACAATAATGAAAGTAAAGGTGAGTACGCACATAGATAAAGAAACGGATAAAGACAAAGGAAAAAATAAAAACAAAAACAAAGGTAAATTTAAATACTTTACATATATACGGGCAAAGATGAAGGGGAATATGTATGTAGATGAAGAAAATGGTAAACATAAAAGTAAAAACAAAGATAAATATAAAGAAAAAGATGAGGATGAGGATACCGATAAAAGTAAAGATGAAGAAAGATTAAAATACAGGCAATTATAGGGAAAAGGATGTACGTAGACAGAGACACGGAGACTCAATCTGGGAACTATTTTGGGATTTTAGAGACTTTCGGAATTCTCGGGACTTATCGATATAATAATCGATATTTTTATCGGTTTTTGTTATCGATATTGTTATCGATATTTTAACGATTTTCTAATCGATTTTTGTTATCGACATTGTTATCGATATTTTTATCGATTATTTATAAATTTTGTTATCGATTATTTATCGATTATTTGTCGATTTTGTTATCGATTATTTATCGATTTGGTTATAGATTTTGTTATCGATGTCGTTTTCGATTTCGTTATCGATATTTTATCGATTTTTTATAGTCATTTTGTTCTCGATATTGTTTGTGATTTTGTTACCGATATTGTTTTCAATTTTGTTATCGATATTTTTGTCGATTTTTTAATCGATTTTGCTATAGAAATTTTTATCGAATTTGTCGTCGATTTTGTTATCGAATTTTTTTTATCGGTTTTGTTGGATGTTACTATCGATTTGTTATAGAGTATAAAGCTACAAATGAAGATAAAGGAAAACAGAATAACATAAATGTAGTTACAACGAACAGGGGTGGATCTAAATAAAAAAAGGCAAAAAATATAACCTTAAGCAAAGGCAGATGCATGTACCTATGTACATATATACATATGTATCTTGGTTAAGAGACAAAATAGATCTCTAACGTAAGTTTCACTTCTCCAGTGTGGCCAAGGCGCGCTTACTTTTTCCGATAAAAAGAAATAATCGTTATTTTTCAATTTTTAACCGTTGTAATGAAGACTACATTTTATGACCCTTCATAAATCCTTTATGATTATAAAAATTAAACGTAACAGTAATGATATGATCAAAAAAATAAAAATCCAAATATGGCGATGAAATTTTTGAAAAAATTTTTATTATAAAGGTGCAATTGGCAGATGGAAACACCAAGAAGAGAAAGATTTGGTTTCACTTAGCGTTTTATCTCAAAATCGCCAATCAAGAGGAAGAAACGTTTATTAATTGGGCTAAATGTTTTCAAAATTGACCAGTAGCTTATTGAAAATTTCTCAGTTATCACAAGCGATCCTACACATGTGTATAATGGATGTTAGGAAATTGGACGCTAAGCAATATAAGCAGCCCAACCACAATTGTGTAGCTCTCTTGAAATGGTCCACTAATATTGTTTATTGTTCCAGCCATTCTCTGGACCAAATTTATGTCAGAGTAAAAGGCACGAACGCATTGCGGGTGTTATAAGTATGTACAATGTGCATAGAAGTACTCACATACATAAGTATTCAAATGTATAAATTTGTAAGTGGTTTCTGAGTGGCTATGCAAGATCGGCGTTCGAAAATGTGGCCAAAAGCGTAAACACTCAGTTTTTCTTAGCACTTTGGTGCGAACGGTTGCGCTAAATTCGGGAAATTGGTTGAAAAAGTGTCGGGCTGGAATAATAAGCTCAGTGAAAACGTCATATACAAACATACATATCTATGTAAAATTGTTTATATTGCGAATATAAGAGAACTAATTCAGCACCCAATTATTGATAAAAATATTAAAAATAATTGTGCAAACATTTGAAAATCCTTTGTTTATATAGGCATATGTATGCATATTTGTTTTGGCCATACATTTTGATATACATCTACACATATGTGTATTTGTTTGTACATATGTAACGATCTGCATAAATCAAAGCTGAATTGATCAGTAAATATTTAAACAGGAACATATGTTCGTTACCAAAAAAAGTGTGTATGTATATTGGTCCATACGCATGCGGTTTATTTGTGGTCGAATGAGTTCATGCCAATTGTGCTCGAGAGCTTCTACGTGAATTNATGTATATTGGTCCATACGCATGCGGTTTATTTGTGGTCGAATGAGTTCATGCCAATTGTGCTCGAGAGCTTCTACGTGAATTTTTGGAAATTTAATAAAAAATAATAAAAATTGACAGATCCTTTTAAGTGTTTTTTTTTCGCTACAATTCGC